GCACCTACAGTAGCACCGCCTCCAGGACTGACAGCAGTAGCCTCAGCACCAACACCCTCAGCAGCTCCAGCTCCAGTCGCACCCGCCGGCCTAGCAGCTCCAGTACCTCCAGTACGAGCACCTCCGAGACCCGCGGCACCAGCACCCTCAGCAGCCGAAGACCCTCCAGCTCAAGCAGCACGCCTCCAGCGCTGGGCAAACCACTCGCGCAGCTCCTGTGGAGAGAGTGGCTCCCGCCGAGACGAAGCACCCGGAGAACCTCCAAGCCCAGCACCGCCAGACACCACACGAGCAGGCCCTGCCCCCTCAGGCTCCACACCCCCAGGCTCAACACCTCCAGACATAGCACCCCCAGGCTCAGCACCCCAAGTCGTAGCACCCCTAGGCTCAGCACCCCCAGGCTCAGCACCCCCAGTCTCAGCACCCCCAGTCTCAGCACCCCCAGTCTCAGCACCCCCAGGCGTAGCACCCACACGCTCAGCACCCCCAGAGTCAGCACTCCCACGCTCAGCACCCTCAGCAGCACCAGAGTCACCAGTGACCTCGACAGGCTCGACTGCGTCTACCTGGGACACACCTGAAGGGGCTAGACCTTGAGGGGGGAGGGGGTCTACCGGGGGGGGACATGGCACTAGGAAGAGCTGTGGTGGGGGGAGGGACGGAGTGCGGTAGGGGAAGAGGCGGTAGTAGGGGACCGACTCGTCAAACGTGACGTCCTGGGAGGACAGAACACGGCGAGAGGTGGGGTGGTAGAACTGCCACCCTGGCGCGTCAGGGGGGAAGCCAAGGAAGACGCAAGGAGCAGCATGAGGGGACAGCTTGTCCGCAGACAAGTCGCGGACAAACGCCCGAGATCCCCAGACACGGAATGCAGACGCATCGCCAACCTTCCCCGTCCACAGCAAAGCTGGGGAGGTCTCCGGCATGGAGACCCTGAGGTGAAGGTTGATCTGATGCGCCGCGTACCGAACCCCAAACTGCCACAGAAAATGGGGGGCAGCCGCATGCATCATGGACGTACGGGCGACGTCCATGACCATGCCAATGCGGCGCTCAACAATCCCATTTTGCTGTGGAGAGTCCGGAAGCGTGAAGGTCTGGCGGATGCCTCGTGCACGACAGTAGGCTTGCAGAAGGCCAGAGGAGAACTCTCCGCCTCTGTCAAAGTGCAGACGCAGAATAGGAAAGTCCGAGCCAAAGCTCTGCCTGAGCTGGAGACGAGCTGCGCGGATCCAGACGATCAACACCTCAGTGACATCACTCTTGCTGCGCAAGGGGAAGACTGTGGTGTAACGCGAGTAGTCGTCAACCACCAGCAGGAAATAGCGCTCGTGACCCAGTCCACGGACGCGGGCGGGGCCCCACACGTCCATGTGAAGCATCTGCAGCGGGGCCTCTGTCGGAGGAAACTGGGAGGAGTGAGGGGCAGCCTGCTGCCGTCCCTCGACACAGGGGACGAAGATAGGGCCAGGCCCCGGAGGAAAGGATTTCTCTTCTGCCTGCTGCAAGTACGCTGCTAAAGTAAATTCTCTTGACAACGCCAAGGAAGCGACGATTGCTACTACACTTAAGCTGTTGCTACGACTCTCTCTCTACACAATCGGACCCTTGGATAGGCGCTGACCTCGGTCAGGCACCCAAGGACCCTAGGAGGTGACCCCGAGGAGAGAGTTCTAGTGCCACCTACAGCTTGTTAGTAGCTAGCTTAGTACGTTTGAAGACTAAGAGATTTCCTAGGTTAGGTGCATTCTAATAGGTTATTATAGTTATAGCTGTGAAGAAATGAGGAATGAATAAACTAGCAAGCAGGTGGGTACAAGTAGGAAAACCTAAAAGTGTTGAACCCCATATTGTCTACCCCACTACAGCCTACACAAACTATAGCATATGAGTTTGACACACCCCCATAGGCAAAGTGGGGGAGAACAAGAGGTCACAAGACCAGTCAAGCAAAGCAAGGCAAGCTCAGGGTGGATCACAACGTCACCACACATTCCGAGCACAAGTTCAAGGCCACAAGACCAATTCACATGCAAGATCATATATAAAGGTAAACAAGCAAGTGCAGGTATAGAAAGATCACAGTACAAGCAAGGTCAAGAAGTGAGCAAGTGAGGCCAAGTAGGCACAAGACCTAGCATCGTACAGAAGCGCTGATGATCACAAGGCGCAAGTGCCTTGGTAAAGATATCAGCAGTGTTGGCCTCAAAGGCCATGTAAGCAAGGCACAGCTGACCACGCTGCTGCAGCTCACGAGCAAGGAAGTAGCGAAGAGCAATGTGCTTCGTTCTGTGCTCCAGTCTGTGCTCCCGACACAAGGCCAGCATGGCCTTGTTGTCTACGTACAGAACTGGAGCAGAACGAGGCGGCTCTCCCAGGTCGGTCAGCAGGTAGGAGAGCCAGCGTAGCTCCTGTGCAGCCATGGCCCCCGCGTAGATCTCAGCCTCACAGCTGGAGCCGAGAACAGAAGACGAGCGGGTAGACCGCCACGAAACAGAGCCGGACCCAAGGCTGAAGGTGTAACCCTGTGACGACCGCTGCATAGCCTGGTCGTCAGCCCAAGAAGCGTCTGCGTGACCTGTGAGAACGACTTAACGTCGCCCTCCAAGTACTAGCCCCATGCCCGACGTACTGCACAAGTAGCGCAACACCCTCTTTGCTGCAGCCATGTGGTCTGGTCGGTGTCTCCCAGGAGCAACATAGCGTGCGAGAATGCTAAGAGGGTATGCAAGGTTCGGTCGTGTGCAGGTCATCAGGTACATGAGGCAGCCAACAAGCTCTGGGTACGGGCCACTCGGCTCTACGGACTCATCCGAAGGCAGAGCTGAGAGCGAATGGCGAGTAGACAGAGGAGTGGCCTGAGGCGAGGAGTACATGAAGTCGAAGCGCTAAAGGACCTGCTGCACCATGTGTGACTGAGTCAGAGTAATGGTGCGCTGTGCTCTGTCCCGGGTGATCTGCAAGCCAAGGTAGCTGCGCAGTTCACCCAGGTCTGTGCGCGTGTGTCTCTTCTGTAGCTCGGACTTCACGTGGGCGAGTCCAGCAGTGTCATCAGTGGTAAAGACCAAGTCGTCAACGTACACGAGGATGTAGAACGGCAGCAAAGAGGTGTCGGTGCGCAGAAACATCGACGGGTCGGCAGTAGAAGGAGCAAACCCAAGAGCCGCAAGTGTAGTCCTTAGTGTGTTGTGCCACTCACGGGGCGCCTCGCGGAGACCGTAGACTGGCCGCCGGAGGCTCCACTGGGTACCAGGGGGAAACGACCCAGTGAAGCCAGGTGGGCGGCGCAGCCAGATCTCCTCGTGCAGGCTGCCCTGCAGGAAAGCTGTGCTGAAGTCAAGAGAGTGAAGCTCGTAGTCGCGCTGAGCGGCTATGTGCAGCAGCACTCGAAGAGTGGTCATCTTTGGGGTGGGAGAGAAGGTCTGAAAGTAGTCAACTCCCTGCCGCTGACTGAAGCCTCGAGCCACGTAACGCGCCTTGAAGACAGGCGGAGAACACGGCGGCCTCTTCACCCTGAAAATCCACATGCCACTGACGATGTTCGCCCCAGGTGGGGGAACCTCGTCGACGTAGGTGCCTGTGGACTTCCAGGAAGCCATCTCTGCGTCCATGGCTGACTGCCAGTGTGAGGAGTAGGGACCCTCGATCGCCTCAGCGTACGATCGAGGAGTCGGGATGTCTGGTGCATCCGGGTCTCCCTCAAGGGCAATCAGCGTGGATACGAGATGAGGCAAAGTAGCAGCAAAACACTGGAACTCCTCCTGCCTGTCCTCAAGGACATCCGTGCTAAGAGCACACTCACCCTCGAAGGACGGAGGACAGACAAATTCAGACTCAGCAACAAGACTAGCAGCAAAGTCTAGGCGACAGCGAGCAGCAAAGTCGACAAGCTCAGCAACTAAGGCAGACGCAGCAGTGGACTCAAACGAAGGGTCAGTGACAACAGTAGCCAGGAGACTCGTGATAGTAGGACTGGCAACACGAAGAGAGTCAGACTCTGGGTCAGCAAGGACAGGAAGAGAGGACTCTGGAGGAGACGGCAACGGGACACGAAGAGGAGCAGTGGAAGGACGCAGTGCCATCTGGTGTGTGCCTGGGACAGAAGGAGGACGCGGACGCGGAGCACGACTACTAGTGCGAGCAGCACGAACAGGCAACGCAGGCAAGACGCAGGCTCACGACGCTCAGCAAGACCTCCAATAGGACCAGTGTAGGGAGAAGGAGCAGGTAGGAGGTGGCGGGCTGTAGCTGTGAGCGCGACTGGACAGGCTGTGGACACGCTAAGGGAGGAGCAGGACCACGAGAGGGCGGGAGACGAAGAACCTACTCAAGGAGCGGAACGAAGTACGGTCGCGGCCGCGCAGCGCCTCCAGAACCAGCAGGGACAGCACCAGTACCCCCAACGGCAGCACCAGCGCCAGCAGCACCCCCAGCTCCAACAGCGCCAACTCCAGCAAGCACCAGCGCCAGCAGCACCTCCAGCGCCAACACCCCCAGCAGCTCCAGCTCCAGCAGCGCCAGCTCCAGCAAGACCGTTAGCTCCAGCAGTCTCAGCAGCACCTGGGGCCGAGCAGCTCCAGTACCTCCAGAACAAGCACCTCCAGGACCAGTGGCTCCAGTAACTCCAGTGCCGACCTCAGGGTCAGCAGAGACAGCAATACCTCCAGCTCGAGCAGCACGGCTCCATCGCCGAGCAAACCACTCACGCAGCTCCTGCGGAGAGGGTAGCTCCCGCCGCGACGAGGCACCCAAAGGGGCCCTAAACCCAGCACCGCCAGAGGCCACACGAGCAGACCCAGCACCCCCAGGCTCCGCACCCCCAGGCTCAGCACCCCCATGCTCTGTACCCCCAGGCTCCGCACCCCCAGGCTCAGCACCCGAAGGCTCCGTACCCCCAGGCTCCGCACCCCCAGACTCAGCACCCCCAGGCTCAGCACCCCCAGACTCAGCACCCCCAGCAGGACGAGAGTCAACAGCTACCTCGACAGGCTTGACTGCGTCTACCTGGGACACACCTGACGGGGCAGGACCCTGAGGGGGGAGGGGGTCTACCGGGGGGGGACCTGGCGCAAGGAAGAGCGGCGGCGGGGTGAGGGGTGCAGTGCGGTAGGGGAAGAGACGGTAGTAAAGAACCGACTCGTCAAACGTGACGTCCTGGGAGGAAAGAACACGGCGCGAGGTGGGGTGGTAAAACTGGCAACCAGGCGCGTCAGGGGGGAAGCCAAGGAAGACGCAGGGAACCGCACGGGGGGACAGCTTGTCCGCAGACAAGTCGCGGACAAACGCTTGAGATCCCCAGACACGAAACGCAGACGCATCGCCAACCTTCCCCGTCCACCGCAAGGTGGGGGAGGTCTCCGGCAAAGGGACCTGGGGCTGAAGTTTGATCTGATGCGCTGCGTACCGAACCGCAAACGGCCACAGAAAATGGGGAGCAGCCGCATGGATCATGGACGTACGAGCGACGTCCATGACCATGCCAATGCGGCGCTCAGCAATCCCATTTTGCTGTGGAGAGGCCGGAAGCGTGAACGTCTGGCGGATGCCCTGTGCACGACAAAAGGCTCCCAGAAGGGCAGAGGAAAACTCCCCGCCTCTGTCAGAGTGCAGACGCAGAACAGGAAAGTCCGAGCAGAAACTCTCTCTGAGCTGGAGACGAGCCGCGCGGATCCAGTGGATCAACACCTCAGTGACGTCACCCTTGCTGCGCAAGGGGAACACCGTGGTGTAACGCGAGTAGTCGTCAACCACCAACAGGAAGTAACGCTCGTGACCCTGTCCACGGACGCGGGCGGGGCAGGGAACGCATGTAGGGGCAGGCCCCGGAGGGAGGGGAGGGAGGGACCGGGGGAGACTAGAGACAAGGACACGGGAGGCCATGCCTCGTAGACAAGGCAGGGAGGGGTGACCAAGGCGGTGGTGCCAGAGGAAATTCCGGTGGGACAGGAGACGACACGAGCAGGGAGCAGACTCAAGACCAGACCTGGACGCTGCAGCAAACACCTGAGTCGACGCAGCTACCTGACCAGACTCAGCAACCGGAGGAGACTCAGTAGCCAGTGTGTACAGGCTCGACCCCGGCTGACGGGTAAACGTGGCCAAGTGTCGGCCCGTCTGAGCACACGTACAGTGGGTCAGCCGCTGACTCGCAGGAGTGAACTGGTCAACCCCCCGATCCTGTAGATCAGCACCACTCACCAAGTTCGTAGAGAACGAGGGGAGGTAGAGACCTGACAGGGTGCCAGAGGGGGCTGCCGGACACGGTAAGACAGTGGAGAAGTGGGCAAGGACAGGACCCCCAGAGGGGTCCGCCAGGGAGACCACAACCGGCCGACTAGGCGGCGTAAGCGTGGTGCGGTCTCGAAAGAAGGAGCGGGAAGCACCCGAGTCAAGGGTGAAGGTGTGTAAGGCCTGAGCCGACGTGGTACCTGAGAGAGCAGACTCACCAGCACCTGGGGCAGCAGACGCACTAGCACCTAGAGTAGCCGCCTCACCAGCACCTAGAGCAGCAGCCTCAATGCCCGGGCCAGGCGGAACACACAGGTAACAGTCACCCTCATCACTAGTAGACACAGCATACATGGCAGCAAGAATAGCATCATAATCAAGATCAAAGATAGCAACCCCCGACCTCTGCAGCTCTCCCCAGCGAGGGATCTCAGTGGCGTCAGGGAACTGGAGACGCCAGGCGTCCGTCAGGCGGCCGAAGCAGCGCTGGGTGGGGTGCGGGCCTCCGCATTGCTCACCCGTACGGTCGCCGGTACGCAGGTTGTAGGTACAGGGACCAGTACCCCCACCCCGCTGACGCGAAGTGTACCACTCACGAAGGTGCTGGGGGGGCGGGGTCTCACGAGTGCGCTGCTGCTGTTGGCGCTGACCACCACCGAAGCCGTCCCGCTGCGCAGAGCCACCCTGACTAGCTCCGCCTCCTCCTCCGCTCCCACCGCCACCGCCGCCGCCGCCTCCGCCGCCACCGCCGCCACCGAAGCCCCCACCCCCGCCACCACTCCCACCACCACCCCCACTCCCTCCACCTCCTCCACCGCCACCTCCACTGCCCCCGCCAGCCCCTCCAGCGCCCTTGCCCCCCTTGCCCTTGCCGGTGCGGCGTTTCCCGCTAGGGGCAGACGCAGCGCCGACCGACTCGGTGCCAACGAAGTCGACGGCAGCAGCTGAGGCAACAGAGGGCAAAAGGGGGGAGGGGGAGCACCCCTCAAAGACGGGGGCACGAGGGTCACCACGAGAGGCTCCTACAGCGACTATACTCTTCTCAGCTGCTAGGAGGCGCTCCTCGAGGAGGTCAACGGTGAGTGTGGTGGGGCAAACAGAGAGGAAGTGGTCCCTGACCGAGCGAAGGGAGTCAGGGAGTTGGGTGACTATGTAGTAGAGGGTGATAAACATGGGGGGGGGGGGTTCTTGGCGCAGAACTCAGCAGGAAGCGCAGCGCGGTAGCGGGTGTCACTAGTGCGAAGGTGCGTAACGAGGTCAGCGACAGTGGGAAAGGCGGCGAGGTCAGGAAACAGGTACGGCAGCATGAGGCGGCTAAGGGCAGCAGTGGCAGGGGAAGAGTAGCGTGCAACTACAGCATCGTACAAGGTCTTAGCACTCTTGTACTGACTAAAGTGCGCGCGCTCAGTGGACGGCAAGTGACTACGCACAGCAAGACGGGCAGCAGCATCGCGTGTGGCCCACTGTGAGCGAATAGTGCTGTCAGCATCGGCAGCAGGGGCAGTAGAGGCGCCAGAGGTGAGATCGAGCAGGGAGAGACCGTCCTTCCTATCGCACTGTAGGAAAAGCTGGAGATCATCGACCCAGACCTCAAAGTCAACAGCCCGACCCTCAGCATCAATGTCTAGAACACATGGGGTAGCCATGACAGCAGTGGCAGCAGGCTAGGGGCAGCAGTAGCAGGCGTGGCTCGGCAGTGCTCTCACTAGGGCTGGTAGGTAGGGGCCGGCAAGCGGTGGGGCAGGGCCGAGGCGCGTCGGCAGGGACAGAGCCGCGACCGCGGCGGCAGCTCCTGCTGTCATTGGTGGCGGCAGTCGCTGTTGTCGGCGGCGAAGGCTGCTCCTGGTGGTGGCCGCCGCTGTTGTCGGCTGCTGCTGGCGGCGGCGGTGGCTGCTGCTGGTGGCGGCTGCTGCTGGTGGCGGAGGAGCCGAGGAGGGGCCGAGAAGGGTGGCGACAGGGCCACGAAGGGCGGCGACGGGGCCGAGAAGAGGCCGCGAGGGGGCGTGAAGGGCGGCAACGGGGCCGCTAGGGGCGGCGACGGGGCCGCTAGAGGCGGCGACGGGGCCGCAAGGGGCGGCGACGGGGCCGCGAAGGGCGGCGACGGGGCCGCTGGAGGCGGCGACAGGGCCGCGAAGGGCGGCGACGGGGCCGATAGGGGCGGGGACGGGGCCGCGAAGGGCGGCGACGAGGCCGCTGGGGGCGGCGACGGGGCCGCGAAGGGGCCGCGAGGGGCCTTGAAGGGCGGCGACGGGGCCGCGAAGGACGGTGGCGGGGCCGCGAAGGGCGGTGACGGAGCCGCTAGAGGCGGCGACGGGGCCGCGAAGGGTGGCGACGGGGCCGCTAGGGGTGGCGACGGGGCCGCTAAGGGCGGCGACGGGGCCGCTAGGGGTGGCGCGAGGGGCCGTGAGAGGGGCCTCTAGAAGGGCGCGATGGGCCGCTAAGGGCAGGGGACGCGACGAGAGGGCGGCCCACGGGGCGCGCCTCGGGCAGGGGCGACTCGCGCTCCGGTCAGATTTTTTTTTTTTCAGTGGTGGGCCCTTGGAAGCGTTCCCACTAGGGAACCTGCTCTATACCATTTGAAGAAATGAGGAATGAATGAACTAGCAAGCAGGTGGGTACAAGTAGGAAAACCTAAAAGTGTTGTACCCCATATTATCTACCCCACTACAGCCTACACAGACTATAGCATATGAGTTTGACGATAGCACCAAACCAGGTTGCGTAAACAGAATTCTAGGCTTTTCGGTTGCCACCGAATCGCCTTTTACCGAATTTGGGAAAGCTCTGTTCGGAACGCTTCACGACCCTTAGAACCTTCGCGTAACACCTGCATTACTGGCCTTGTGTCGAGACTATATATAGCCTCGTGTTGTACCCAGGTGGATAATTGAATTCAAACTCTCTTTTCTGAGCTCGGTCCTAGATCCTCACACTTAGTAATCAGAGTCGTTTAAAAGCGAAGTTTTTTCGACCACTAAAATCGAGTCTTAAACAAACCGCGGGGGTGACGACTGTTAATCACCGATTTCGGGTATGTACAACCAGTTCCGTGTTTTTCACTCCCCCTCGTTTTTGGTTTTCGGATGTGCAATGTCAGGGATGGAGGGACAAGGCGACAATTACGTGACCACCTACAACATCGCCAGACTTCGCACCAACGTGGAGCAGACGCAGGCCGCGATTCGGCGAATCGAGGCCCTCCTGGGGAACCAATCGGTAGCCGCCACCACAACAGTCAATGCAGTAGCGAACGTAGCAGCGACAGCAACAATAACACCGGCGACACCGACATTTCATGGATCGATGGCACCACCTTTGCCGAACCTCGAAGCAGCTCGCCCGAGGCTTTTCGAAGCGTTCGATCCGAGCACTAAGGGATCGGACGTTCGACGATTAGTGGCGACCCCCGTAATTTACTTCGAGGCCATTGGCAGTTCGACCCCGACACACGATGCAGCACTGATTCGGCTCGTAGAGACACTGTTGCGAGGACCAGCACTCGAGTAGATTGACTACAGTGACGTGGCCCGCAGGGAGAATGTCAGAGGTCCACTGGTGATCCCCGATTGATCCTAGGGAAGGGTTACAGGCACGTTGGCCTGGGGGGTTATGGGCGCACTGACCCGCTACTTAACAAGCCCTTTTATCCCAATGGTCTAGTGGTTGGGATTCTGACATGGTATCAGAGCGAAGGTCTCGGGTTCGAATCCTGTGTCAAACACTATAGATGTGTTATTGCTGTGTAGGCTATAGTGGGTTAGCCCATAGGGGGTACACAACTTCTAAGGTTTCATACTTGTACTGCAATGTTGTCTAGTTCATTCTCTTCTTGATTTTGACATGGTATTAAGAGCTTATGTTCTAGACCTAAGGGTCCACCGTTCCGCTAGAGGTGCCCTCGTGCGCCCTTTTTTTTAGCGCCCTCGTGCGCCTTTCCCCTAGTGCGCCCTCGTGCGCTCTCCTCTCACGCTGCCCGTGTGCAGCTCGCTAGCAGCCCGAGCGCGGCCCCGCCGTTTTAGCCCGTGTAGGAAACCCGCCGCCTAGGGCGGCCCGATTCTTCTCACGAGCCCCAGCAGGCCTTTGCCCGTAGGCCCCTGCTAGCCCCTAGGCCGACGCGCGACCCACAGCCGCCCGCCTGCAGGTCGCAGCCAGCGCGCCGCGACGATCGCGCGTTGGCTGCTGCAGCGCGCGACCCACAGCCGCCGCTAGAACGCAGCCGCGGCCCGCGCGCTGCTGCACCCTAGGCGCCGCCGCGCACCTAGCCTAGGCCCGCCGTCGCGCCGCCTTAGCTGCCCGACCCGCGTCGCCCGAGCCGCGCCGCCCGAGTCGCGCCGCCCTAACCGAGCCGCGCCGCCCTGACCGAGCCGCGCCGCCCTACCCGCTGCAACCGCTCCTCCTGCTCCTACTGCTACTACTGTTTCTACTGCTACTGCTACTGCTACTCCTGCTCCTGCCACTATGGCCAGTCCCACTGTTCTCGCCTTTGACGCCGAGGGCCGCCCGATTAAGTTCGATGTCTGGCTTGATGACCTCCACCTGTTCCTCCAGATCACTGCCAAGGACGATGTCTCACTATACGACCACACGTCAGGCGCTGCTCCCGCACCTCCCGTGTGAGGATCTGGGATCGAGCTCAGAAAAGATGATTCAAATTGAATTGAATCGAATCGAATGTCCACCTGGGTACAACACGAGGCTATATATAGGCTCGACACAAGGCCCCGTAACCAGGTGTTACGCGAAGGTTCCGCGGGTCGCGAAGCGTCCCGAACAGATCCTTACCGAATTCGGTAGAAGGCAATTCGGTGGCAACCGAAAAGCCAGAATTCGGTGCACGCAACCTAGCTCGGTGCTATAACTATAATAAAATATAGGAAAGCACCTAGCCTAGGAAATCAAGCAATTCATGCATGCATATGATTATCCTATGCTAGAAATAGCATGATAAAGTAGAGGCAAGCAAGCATAGCTGGCATAAGCCGTCGTACTCTCACACGTCCCCCCCTCAAAGCTGGGTGGCGTGAGATACACCCTGCTTGACAAGATAGTCCTTGAGAGCACGGCGTGCGTTGCCCATATCAGCTTCTGCAACCCAACTGTCCTCAGTGGGGTCGTATCCCTTCCAGCGTATTAGGAACTCGAGGGTCTTGCCACCGCGGCGCCGATGGGTGAGAACGCGCTCAATCTCGTACTCGGGTTCATCCTGTATGAGAACAGGTGGTGGTGGCGGTAGTTGCCGTCCCTGGAACTGTTGGTTGGGGTCCTTGTAGGGCTTCAGTAGCTGGACATGGAAAACGTTGTGAAGCTTCCATGTATCTGGTAAGCGCAAGCGGAATGTAACTGGTGTCACCTGTGCCTCAACGAGAAAAGGACCACAGAAGCGAGGCCGGAGTTTGGATGGGAGGTGAGACAGGTTCAAGTTGCGCGTGTCAAGAAGCACCTGATCTCTGACTGCTACTGAGTGATCACGTCGCTGACGATCGGCATACTGCTTCTGGGAGTTCTGCATCGTGGTGAGACGTCGCTGAGTCTTCTCCCATAGCTGCTGCATGGTGGTGACGAAGTCATGTGCGGCTTGGACGTGTGCCGGTGTAGTTGGCTGCTGTGGTGTGAGTGGTTCCCGTCCGTAACACAGGAAGAAAGGAGTTTTCCCTGTGGCCGCATGTGATGCGTTGTTGTAAGCGAACTCTAGGGTTGGTAACTGTGTGTCCCAGTGGCTAACGTCGTCCTTGCAAGCTGTGCGCAGTAACTGTTTAACCACTTGATTGAGTTGCTCTGTCTGTCCGTCAGTCTGTGGGTGGTATGCTGAAGACATTGCAAGCTTTGTCCCCAACAGTCCCATGAGCTCCTTCCAGAACTTACTCGTGAATTTGGGGTCTCTGTCTGAGATGAGTGTAGCGGGGATGCCGTGGATGGTGATGATGCGGTCGAAGAAGTCGAGCAGTTGCTTCAGCTGTAGCTGTGGCGTTGGTCGGTATGAAGTGACCCATTTTGGAGAACTTATCGATCACCACGAGGATGGAATCATGTCCCCGTGAGGTCGAAGGAAGCCCTGTGATGAAGTCGAGGCTAACGACCTGCCATGGCTGCTCCGGTACGGGTAGAGGCTGAAGTAACCCTGCTTTTTTTTGCTTGCTGCTCTTCATCCGCTGGCACGTGTCGCAAGAGGTGACGAACTGCTGCACGTCTGCTGCCATCCCGTGCCAGTAGTAATACTCTATCTGTTTTTTCATGTCTGTCAGTTCAGTCGGACTCAGTCGGTATGGTGCACGTGAGACGGGTTTCGCACCTGGTTCCTCCACGATCTCGTGCTCGTGGGTGCGTGCTGGAGGTACGCCCGCAGGTAGGTCGTCGGGTATTATATCCTTTTACTGCTCCAAGACCTCTTTCACTGCTGCAGGTAGCTCGGAACTCGGCTTCTCCTCCTCTGCTGCTGCCATAACCAGTGCTAGGTAACCCGTGTTACTCTTGTTCACCGTCTGTTCGAACCGTGCCAGTGTCGTTTCAGGTACGTCCCCTGTATCCGTCCAGCTTCGCAGTGCTTTCCGCTTCCCATTGTTGTAGATGCACACTTTGCTGTTGACCCAATCGATCTCGGGGTTGAACTGCTTCAGGAAATCTCGCCCCAAGATAAAATCTAATCCTTTGATGTTGGTGACTGGTAGCTTCGGCTTCCACCTCAACGCACCTATATGCAGTTGCAATGATGCTTCGCCGTGGATAGGAAGCTTCGTACCATCCACCATGGTTGCTGAAAACTGGGTCTCTTCCGCCTTCTCTCCAATTTTCTCCAATGCTCCGCGGTCACACACCGAGTGAGATGCACCGCTGTCCACCAGTGCCTGGAGGCGTCGCCCATTGCATAACACCTCGAGGAGTAGTGGTTTCTGCTGTGCTGAGTAGCCAAAGAGGGTCTCGTTAAGAGGGTCCCTTTTTCCTATACCTGACTCAGCGCTTTCCAACTTCACCTGGGGGGTAGGAGGATTTTTCCGAGGCTTGTATAATTTATCCTGAGTTTGGATGTCTCCTCTAAGCCTTGGCAGCTGTGTAGGCTTCACCTGTGGGCGACGGGGAGCCTTACCACTGTGCTGCGGGGAGAGAATATTAATTCCACGGAACGCACGACCCTTTTCTACGCTCCGTAGTGCTTTGCCCAACTTCTCAGGTACCTGAATAATTTCTAAAGGCTTTTTCTTGGCCTCTAGACCTCCCCTGAATTTTTTGAAGGCTTGTAAACCACGAGAAGCAATATTCTTCGTTAGAGCATCTTTATAGGATACTTTTAACGAATTCTTACTTTCGTGGGTGTTCGGCTGGAGTTTCCCGGTCGGTGCAGAGTCTTTTTTCGCGGAGCCTCCATTCGCCTCGGCGATTTCCCCTGATGCCGATCGGTCGTGACGTTTTAAATTCGCGCCATCTTTTTCTCCTTTTTTCACCCGCTCCGAAGTCGCCACGTCGTCGCCTTTTCCTGCTTTTCGGATCTTTACGCGATCGCCAGGTCGATCCGCGGCTACTGGCGATTCCCGTTTTTTGACTTCGGGGGTGCTCCACTGTTTCCGTCCCAGAGTGCCGTACGTCGTTTCTTCATTTTGTAGCACGACAAAAACTGATGTCCTGCTGCGCCGCAAAATTCGCATTTTGTCGGCTGCTG